CTAGAATATTGCCTGCAGATATGGTAAATAAGGTTCCGATCTTTTACACACACAATATAATGTTTGTTCTGCTCCTGCAAGGAATAGATCTTTTAGTGTATATTTGTATATAATAGATATTCATGTATACTGTATTTGATATCTATGTATACATGTTTTTAGTGTATTTGCGTATGATAGATCTTTATGTATATTTGTTTAAAACTCTGTTAATTTTATTTATATTTTGATAATTTTATGTCTACTTGTTTTTGAAGTCTGTTGATTTTATCAGTGTTTTACTTAAGGTACACAAGGTATTCTTTTTTTATTAAATGGTCAACAAATCTTGCTTTTAAAATAATCCCACTTTGCCAGGAACAACACTACCTCTTAGTCTGGTCTACCTCACTGTGTTGTTGTGAAAATAAATCAGACTTTTTTTACACACACTGATGTGGTTATTATAGTGGTAGCCTAAACATCTTCACTTGGATGTAAGACCCACTGAGTTTAATGCAGCTTCCTCCTAGCTGATTAGTTTAGGATTGCAGTCTTGCTAGGAGAATGTGGCATAAATAAATAAAGTTTAAGAGCATATCCCAGGAGCTGGGCATAGCGGTAATGTATGGAAATGCACATTGGGTTGAGGGGCAGTATATAGGCGTGTCTCCCCACTTATGTGGGGGTTACGTTCCCAGGTACCATGCAGAATTGTGTATAGTGCAAACACTATCTGAAAAGCCTGTAAAACCCTCTAAACTTCTGAAAACAGTTGAAAACACCTTTAAAAACCAGTAGCAGTTACCAGACTGGCATGAATGGTGGCAAAGATGTCTCTCAGCCTTCCTCATCACTGGAGGATGATGTGAAAATAACGACAAAGGGAGTAGACTCAGTACCCCAAAGTGGGATTGCAGTTGCAAAGGTTCCTGGGATTGCTAGCTGTTTTCTTGCTCTTTTCAGGCGGTTTTTGCCCTTTCCATGCTTTTTTTTGCAGTTTAAACCTATTTATTTACTTATTTCCTGGCTTTGCATGTATTTGCTGTTGCACGTAAGTCAAACATGTGTCGGGGTGTGTGTGCCTGTACTGAAGTGCAAATCTTTAAATGACCGAATTTATTACTTGGAACCTGCCAGAAAGGATATTCTTGATTATCAAAGCTCTGCTGAAACTTAGGAAATCACAGCATTTCTCTTGCTGCTTAAAATTAATACAAAAACTACAATATGTTGTGAGAAGGATGTGCTTTAAGTGATAACTTGGAAAGATGTTGTAGACAGAGGCTATAATTCTACAGAGAGGGTGGATAATTGTGTGCACAGGGAGAGGTGTATACATGGCATGAGAGAAAAAAAGTGAGAGGGATAGATGGACTGGAACGTAGATAGGAAGGTTCACCTAAGTTACATTTTCAAGATTTCCTTTTTTCTTTTGCAACAATGAGGCCTTGGAACTTGCATTTTAATATGAAAACCCAACATGCCAGGGTTTTAACAAAATCATTAGTAACCTCCCCTCTGTACACAGATTCTGTGAGCCGCCAAGTAATGCAGCAGAGTCAAGTATTGCTTGTAAAATTGGTTTGCACGGTTACATTTTCCATTCTTTCATGTTTCTTTAATAGCCGCCTGTAGAGAAACAGCCAAAACCAATTTAGAAAGCAGTTCAGTAGAGAAGCTTTCTCCCTACATTTCTTATAGAAAAATCTCTCTGAGTATGCAGCATAGACAGAGGTTCATAAATATTCTACAGTCACATTTAAAGAATACATAATGTAGTTTCAGCTTTATGATGTATTGTGAGTACTGAATAAGTATTTACCTGTAAATCCCTCATCTCTTTTAATAATCTATAACATAGGAAAGCAAATATACAATTGTTAGACCGAGGAATGGGACAAACTACTGTGTTAATTTTTTGAAACATTTATAGGTTCCGCCTCCCCAATCAAAGACTCACAAGGCAGCTAACAACATATATAAAACAAGAATAGTATTCATTCATAAAAAATAAATGAAAGTGAATTTGGGTACTTGGATGGGGAAAACAACTTTAGATGGCAAATCTTGTATCTAGAATGAACATATTTGAACTGCTACCTAGCAGGCAAAATTGCCATCTCTTTATCTGAAAGATTGAGAGAGAGCTACTGACAGGAAATTGGGCATCTTGGTTATTGCTATCCTGAAATGAAAAATTGGAATTCCATTCTTTAAATATCACCTTACTTTTGTTCTTTGCCTTTTATGTTTAAAATAACGTGGCTACATTTTAGGATCGAGAATTCAAATGCCATGCATGAAATGATTTAGGTGTGATAATTGCCAATAGAATATTGGATTTGGAGTGAGAAGGTCTGGATTCAGATTCGCATTCACGCATGATTGCACTAGCCGAAATCTCAGCCAAACCTACTGTACAAGGTTGTGTGAGGGTACACTTTGCGATGAGAAAGAAGCAAATTGCAACTGTGATGATTAAAACAAGTCCACTAACCATCTTTTATATATATTATATCCTAGGACAGTTTTCCAGCTCGCTTTGGAGGAATTCATTTTGTAAATCAACCATGGTACATCCATGCCCTCTATACAGTTATACGGCCATTTTTGAAGGAAAAGACAAGGAAAAGGGTATTTTTCTCTTGTTTGTTTGCATGGTTTTGCAAAATTGTTCTTGGTTTCTAGATTGATCACTTTGATTGGCAAGCAACACAAGCAGCAGAGGCAGTGCCCCTGGTATTGAAATAAATTCCTTACGAAACACATTCACTCATACTAAAACTATGTTTGTTTCATCATGCAGTGTGTCAATGGGGAATGGCTTCTGTTGTTCTATTAAGAATTTTAACTTCCAAGATATTAGGAAGCTTTGCAAAATCGTAATACACTAAGCATATTTTTTAAAGAGTAAGAGCAATTGTAAATATATTTTATGTAAGAGATAAAACATTGATACTAATAGACTTTAGCATCCAGATGATAACAGAGATTAAATAAATTCACCTTCAAACACTGTTCCTTGATCAATCAAAGCTAGCTTTAAAATGTTCTGAACCTAATGCAGTAAGCATAGTTTAAAAATGCTGTGTGTAAGTTAATAAAGAAGCTGTCATGAAATGGGAGATAATCAAATTGCCTGTGTTTTAATTTATGGGGAGGTACATTTTCACAAATCTTGGTTATGTTGGGTGCAGGTTCCTAACCTATTACTTTTACTGAGATGCATAATGCTATAAGTAGCCAACATGTGAAGCATTGGAGTAAAATACTCCCAGGAAGCACCCCATCAATAACTGGACTATAGTATTTTGTACCAGCTAATACTTCTGAATATCATCTGTACCAGCTGATACTTCTGAATATCATCTCTGCAGATGATATTCAGAAGTATCAGCTGGTACAGAATACTATGTTGACTAGTCAAAGTTATAAAGTCACGAATGGCTCATGTTAACTTAACATTAGACAAAAATACGACACCTGTGTTTTAACATATGGTGATGTACATTTTCACAAGAGTCATAAATGGAAATCTGACCTGCTGTCTTAAAAGAGAAATGGTGGTTGGACTCTGGGGCATTGATTACTGCAGCACTCTGTGTTTTCATTGCCCATTTTCATCAGTCCAGTGTACCAATTTGTTTGATGTGGACACTAATCAAACTCCAGGAAAGTACACCAGCAGAAAAACCCTCTCATACTGCATGTGTTAGGGCTTTTTTCATCCTTTCCCCAAGAACAACTCTTGTACCACATTCATACGCTGCCTTTGAAATCCATACGAAATTCAAAAGCAGCTCGAAATGACATTCTAAGTAGCACTATTCTTTGAAGGGAAAGAAAAGAAAATTCCACTGTACATGCTGGAGCCCTTGAGGGTACATGCAAAGGCTAGCTAGATGGCAGCTACTAACTATCTAGAAGCAAAATGCAGTGTCCTGCTGTAGTCAGAGCAAGTGGAATTTGATGAAGGAAGAAGAAATAAATTCCATGACACACATCACAGATCCCACTCAGTAGGATATTTAAAAAGACCCTGGCGGGGTGCTGTGGTTTATCTTAGATTTCTGAGAAGCAGAGATGCTGTGTTTTCCAACTCAGTCTTGGTTTTTCTCTCCCAAAACACTGTAGTGTTTCTCGGTCATATGTCAGATTTTTTTATTTTTTAGTCTGCAAAATATGCTTGGGGATATTTGGGGGCACTTATGAACCTATGATTGCCTATTCTTTTAATATAAACACACACACACACTGAAAAGCCATCTTGCTGGATATATTTGCATTCTCCCTTCAGCTTCTGCCACAAAGTGTCAGCTGCATGAAACTTATTCCGGCATGAGATGCACTGGAAGTGGTCCGAATTTTAAAATTCTGCCCAGTGGGTTTGTATCCAGTGCTGTGTGAATGGAAGTCCACTTGTACCAAGAAGTATTTTTGCAACCATTTGCTTGCACTAGCTACTTCAACCTAATTTTGGCAATCCTCCTTCCCTTTTGTACCCTTCTGCCCCACACCTCAGGCCATACTTGAGAATGCCTGCCCTTGGAGGAGCTTTTCAGTGGGCACAAGAGGCTACATTGGGGAAGAGGTATGTGAACTTCTAATCGCACTGGGTACAATCCAGTACGCATGATTTCTGATAAATTAGAAACCTTTAAGTGGTCCTAAAATGCAACATTCCTTAGAGTTTAGCAGAACATATACATACACATTACACGCATACATTTATTAGCTAGGATCCGTAGAATGAGACGCATGCACTAGTGGGATTTTTTTTTTTTACTTTTCCTTGTTGAACATCAGACATCCCCAACATAGCTGCTTTTTGAAAACCCTGCATGGATTTGCCTTGTGTCAGGAAGGACTGATATCCGCTGAAGGTGCTAGCTTGTAATGTCTTTGATTCATCCTTTTAACAGATATTTCTCCATGGAAATAACCTCAACAGCCTGCACCAGCTAATCCACCCTGAGATTCTGCCTTCTGAATTTGGTGGAATGCTGCCGCCTTACGATATGGGCACGTGGGCAAGAACGCTGCTTGATCACGAATACGACGACGACAGCGAATACAGTGCGGACTCGTACAACACTTCTGCAAAAGAAGTCGAAAAGGACCTGTCTCCCAAATCCATGAAGCGGTAAGTTAGTCAGGCCTGTTGAAGCAGAAAAGAAGGGTGTAGACAAAATGACACCCTCCAGATTTTTGGGTGGACTACAATTCCTGACCATTGACGATGCTTGGATAGGGCTGATGGGAGTCGGAGTCCACAAAGTTCTCAAGGGCATGTCAGTAGCTATCTCTCATGTAGTTGATTTTCTAAACTGAATGACTTCTGCTGAGGGCCAGGACAGTAGCATATGATTTCCTAGGAACATAGGAAGCTGCCATAACTCAGTCATAGTGTTGGTCCGTTTAGCTCATCACTGTTGACACTGTCTGGCAGCAGGTTTTCAAGCTGTATTCTTTGTCTACTTGGAGATATCAGGAATTTTATCTGAGATTTTTGGCATGCAAAGCATGAGCTGTGGTGCTTCCCCTATGTAATTAAGCCATTCCATTAAACTGTAATGCACATTGATGCAGTAACATTCGTTGTTTTGTATTAATGAATTTTGAAGTGGAAAAAGAAAACTCCACTCAAGGCAGCTTGCAACATAGAACATTACATTTTCATTAATGATGTAAAATACAAAGAGAGAGGGTCAGCAGTTTAAAAAGATCGTAAAAATATTGTCTGCCTCGTATAATAAAAGCCTGCCAGAACAGAAAGTAGTGATGGACAGGGACCAAATGCACTTCATTGATTTGATTGACTATGTATTTCTATGCCACCTTCCATTCAAAGGAGTCCCAATGTGGCTTACCAACAATAAAGAACAGCCACAGCTGTAGGCTACAATTACAATGTCTGGGCAATTTAGAGCTGACCCCACCATTAACAAATCAACAATCACATGATCATAGGTAATTATAAAACCATTATAAAACAGCAGCTAAAACACAGGCTAAACATTCACCCTCACCCCTCTGCACATACTGCCTCAATAATCATTTACTCTACTGATTGAAATACAAATCCCAGCAAACAAGAGGCCATTGATTCTATAGAAATACCTACAAACAGAACCATACTGCAGCAAATGCCTTGTCTCCTACACACTGATCACAAAGGGGTGTGTTTGTGGGCAGCAGCCTCTCTACTGTTCCCCGAAGTCAAGCTCTCAGCAAGAGATTGGGATAAGCCTCCTCACAAGCAATCTCAATCCCAGCAACAGACAAATGCAGTGATATCCTATTACAGATCTATAGGTGGGCTGTCCAGTAATTGTCAGTGGACACACCTCTTCTCTCTTCCCAGTAGCCACAGCTCATCAGTGTCCAGGCTGCTAGAGCTGCCAGTGAACTGGGTGGGTGGATGGAATTAGTTCCCTCCCCCCCCCCCTTGCTCGTACTACCTGGTAGTCTGACAGCCAGTCAGAATTCTCTCCATCCACATTTCATGCTCCAGCTGCTCACCACTATGGAATTTCTCTCTTTTGTCCCACGCAGCTGTGCTTCCACACTTAGCAGGACACAGAGGACAGCCTCTCCTTCTGATCTAAGGGAGCAGGTGGGATGGTGTGAAGTTATTGCAAGTCATGGCACTTTCATACTAGCCCTGTGGATCGTTGTGTGATTCCAGATGTGGAGGACAACCCATTGGGACACAGATATCAGAAATTATCATGGGGGAGCCAAGTGAATTCCCCCTTCAGGCATTATGCTGGAAGAACAAAAGCTATGGAATTGAAACACGATTCCAGCAAAGCAAGCCCAACGAGATATGCCCAACTTGTCAGACATTGCTCATATACCTGTGCAAGCCACGCTGTGTGCTACAGAGCTCAGAAATTTAGGTACCAGAGAAATAACTTCTCAGTAACAGGTTAGACAGTATTGTTAGGAACCACATATGTGACTACATTATTATGCTGAGATCTGAAGCCATCCAATTCTACAACATCAGTAACAAATATTAAATTACATTTGAAGGGAGGACTTTAGAGAAAAAACAGCATTGCTTTTCCAGTGACTGCAGTTTCTTTCGGATGAAAAAAATGTTAATGGAATGTAGCTGCATGAACTCTGAAGCTTTGTTCTCTGCTAGTTGACCAGCTTTGCTGAAGGAAACTGTCCTTGCTCAGTGATAATAGGGTGACATGTTTCCCTTTGTGTTGTCAGAAATATTAGTGCAGGCTGGTTGCCAGTCCATTTAAGTTCAAGTGCAAGGGGTGCCATGTGTCACTATCCCAAAGTATCTGTTTGAATCCTTTCTTCCTAAGCCACAGCCTGAGCTCATCCACCCACTCATGTTTTTAATATCCTCCTTGGGCATTTCCAAGCCATCCACCAGAGATCTACAAACAATTTGTTTTATTAGTCAAGTAGATTAAGCTTTTCTGTTGCACCTCGGCTAGTGGTCAAGTTAATCTCAAGAAGCTGGCGCATGTATTGCTTCAGCCAAGAATCATTCTGCTCCATGGCTTTGGGGTAAATACTGTTTTGGGTGCCTGCTAATGCTCCTCTTGAAAAGGCCAAGTAGGGCCTCTAGGTAGCATGTGATGCCAGTTTCAGAGCATTATTAGCCAGATGGTGTGTTGGAAATATTCCACTGCCAGCAGACTGCAGCTGGCAAGACTTTGTATGAAATCTAATCCCCTTTCCTCAGTAACAGGACATTTTTACCTTACTGCTAGCACAAATCCTTGCTTGACTTCAGTAATAGCTAGTAAACCTATTTTTTCATAAGATTCATTGGATTCAGATATGTGTGTTTTTTAATCTGATATTTCTATAGTCAGTATTTTATTTTTATTATTTATTGGATTTTTATACCGTCCTTCATCACAAGATCTCAGGGCGGTTTGTCCTCTTTGATCCATAGCAGTTTCACTTCTACTAGGTAGCTCCCTTCCTGTGAATTAAGTTGATGTCTCTGCACTCGCTCAGGACACATGCCCTCTAGACATCAGTGCACTGTGTTCAGGAATAAGGCCTTTTGAAACACAAAAGACTGGAAGGGAATTTAGCTCAAATGTGCTCGGAACTGCTTACTTGGAACACTGGCTCTTCTCTGCTGGAGGGCAGACTGCTGCCTATTTGGTAGAGATGCTTTTGCCCCACCTGGAACATGATACTTTTGCCCAGTTTTGGGTGATGTCCCCTCCTGGTGCAGCCCCAGACCACACAGGAGCCCACTGACCTGCTGGAGGGGCTTTGTGGGTACAGGAGGCTGCATAGGAAGAGAAAGGTTGGTTGCTCAAGATGCCTTCTGCTTGCACCCACCAATGAATTCAATTCCATTTGTATAACTAATGTTTCTCACATTATTTCAACACCTGACTTATTTCTGTGTCCAAAATGAGTAAATTGGATGTTGAAGTGAATTAAAAGAGGTTCATTGATTTGTGCAAGATCAGAAGCTCTTAACTTCTGTATGTTTTTATCATGGAGTAAGTGATCATGTAAACTTGAGGGTACCCAACAGAGTGCTCTCCAAATGTTGGTGGACTCCAAGCCCCAGCATCTTCGCCCATTGGCCATTCTAACTGGGGTTGATGGGAATTGTAGTCCACAACATCTGGAGGGCACCACCTTGGTGATCCCTGATATAAAGAATTCAGTGTTGTTCTCTATGGTGAGTGGATCAGATTCATCAAGAGATGACCAAAAAAATGTATTCTTTGTTAGTGTAAAATAATGATTGAAAGTGATTTATCTGTTAGCGTAGACACAATTTGTATCTCAAGGTAGCATTCTGGGGTGACAAACCTCAAAAAAATACAGTTTGAATCTGTCCTGAGAAAAGTTTACCAGCTTTCTTTAGAGGAAGTATGGAGAAGCTGTAGCCCTTTAGGTGTTGTTGGACTATAGCTGCCATCATCTGTGACTTAATAATGACAATTTTATTATTATTGGCCATGCTGGCAGGGTCTGATGGGTGTCGATTTCCAACAACATTTGGAGGGTCATAAGTTCCCCACCCCTGATATAGTGTATGGAGGAGAGGTGTACATATTTAAATATTAAATATACACTGGTTGTAGGTATCACACCATATTTCCCAAGCGATTTTCTGGATACTGGCTAGCTTTTAAAAAATAAATAAATAAGTGAAGTCTGCTTTCATTTGTCTTAATATCAGGCTTTTCTTTAAAAAAAACAAACTTTTTTCCACAGGTCTCAGTCAGTTGTGGACCCTGGAGTGTTAAAGCGCATGGATAAAAACGAAGAAGAAAACATGCAACCCTTGCTTTCTCTTGACTAACAATGTCTGAGCATCGAACATGAATTGGGGTGGAAGGTATTGCCTTTCGGCAACAAGCAAACCATTGGGAGAAGAATGTGTACCAGCCGGAATCCTATTTTTCATGTTAATGTAGCATAACGTAATGAGGCAACAGGTTTTGCCAGTCAGCCTGGAACATGCGAGCCCTGGGCTGGAAAACAGGGTGGAAAGGAAGAAGATGAAAAGGAGCAAATATCAATAATATATTCTGTTAAGTGCCAACCTGTTTGTAAATAGAGTCTATTCCTTCTCTCTGCATTTGTAAGTAATGGTAGGGATGTAGTACAAGAAAGGGAAAAAAAAGAGTGGCTATTAAAATATGCCAGTTGAATGCACTGTAAAAGAACGAAAAGCACTCTGAGAAAAAAGAAAGAAAGAAATCAGACCTAAGTAACATTCATCCTTTTTATACAAAGCCATATTACACCTTTCATATGGACTGCTTTATTCTGTTCAAACATTTTTTCTTTAAACGAGAAGATATAGGGTCCTATAGACATCGTTGTAACTGGTGTGATGTTACCTGTCAATCAGATTGTATTTCACAGACATTGCTGAGGTTCATGATGGAGACTAGAAACCATATGAGAAAGAGAGAAAGAAGGTATAGACACAGGGAGCCAAGCACCTTTCTTTGGCATAAAAGACAACTGGTTTTTAATCTTTTAATACTAAGTTTGGGGTTTTGAGACCCATTTGGGTCCTGAGCATAAGGCGGGTCTCAAAGCATCTGCCTCTTATCCAGTCCCCATTTGAGAACTTGCCTCCTTGACTGGATCATTTGTAGTAATGCTCAGCATTCCACGCCTAATACTCAGCAGCAACAGATTGATGCATTTCTAAACCTTACAAAACTGAAGTCTGAATACATATCTATATATTTTTACCACTCTCTACATATAAAGTGTCATTGGTAGATAAGTATATGTAATCAAGGATTTATAAAAACAAATCATACCTATTTGGTGTGCTTAGAGTTTATTATAGATTGTATATTAAGACAATGTCATCGTTAACATAGTAAAAGATTAAGTACTGCATCCTACTTTGAGCAAGATTTAATTGTTATAAGTACGGTGTAGTACAATACCATGCTAAGGCCATCTTTTGTTTTGTGATGTAATTGTGTAGATGAAACATGTGCCATACTGAGAGAGAAAATACATTTTTACCTCAAAAGACCAAACAGTCCCTAAAGTGGACTGAACACGGTCAGCTGTAGTTTAGGGGTATATATTCATCTTTGATGTGTGCTGATATGCTTGTGTATTTCCACCGTACATCAAGACAAGAATGTACCCTACAACTATACAGATCTGTCATCAGAATTTAATATGCCACTTGAACAGGAATGACAAGATCTCTTTCTCGCAAAAAAACCAAAACCTTACTACTGAACTCTTAAGGGCTCTGAAGAAATATATTGGAATTAATTATTGGATATTTAAGATGCCTAAGATCAGGCTTAATGCTGCGACAGATTGTGTTTCTATTGAAAATCTTCAGTTTCAAGACAGTAGAATGACTTGTTTGTTTTATATCACCTCCATACCATTCAGAGACAACCTTCAGATAATTTTGGGGGCAAGAAGAATTAAAATACATTCTGCCTGTACTGTCTTTGTGTAATTCAGATACTCTGTTGAGACACCATATGCATGTCTGCTATCATTGATTTCCACTGCAAACTAGTGTTAAAATGATGTGAGGCTGTAGTGTATTCTAGACCATTTAATGCACTGCTGGATGCTCAGTTAAGAGATTCTTATTTGGCTTAATTTTTCTTTTCCTTATTTAAATTATGACAATAGTGTTCTTTGCAGGCTAGAGCATTGGTTACATTATTGAAGCATTCATCATTCTAATAACATGGTAAACAAGCAACCTATCTATTAAGCAGGGAAACCTTCATGGTGGGAACACTATGATGAATGCATTAACCAAAACGGATCTGTTTTTGACCGGAATGGCTTGTAGTTGACAAGACCTATGCTTATCACATCCAGAGATCTTAAGTTGAAGGCTGTGATCTTAAAACAATGACTGCCTATTGTATGATATCAATTGCCCTTGGGCCACCTCACTGAATAAACACTTAACAGGCAGCCATGGCCAATCTAGGCTATCTAGCATATGTGCCAGGACCAGCAACTGTATCTGGTTTGACCCTTGGTGGTAAGTAAGCAGCCTAACTTATCACAAGACTGCAGCCTCAGAGTTTTCCTAGAAATACAGCTGCAGCACCTTTAGCAACATCAGCAGTAAGAACTTTGCATGTCTCTACATGGGGCTCTACATCAGTTCCCATGGAGTAATTTGATTAGATATGTGTTATTTCTCAATTGAAGCTCTGGTCTCTAACTTTAGAAGTTTCCTGTATAGCACTAATACCTTTTTGCATGGCTCCATAGGAATGAGCAAGCTGTTTAGTGATTGGAATCCTTATGCTTCCAAACTGATAAGAGTTAGACAATTTGGAACAGAAAACATGCTAGGCAAAATAAAATGGTAATTTGTTCTTAGCTCTATAGTGGATAAGCTTAACTGCAGGTGCAGACATTTGTAGCAGTGCCAGACAAGAGGACTCTGTCTTGGTGCAGCACACAAAAACAAGAGTCTGGTGTTGAAAACAAAAATGGAACACACCTGTAGTTGGCACCCGTCTGTCTTGGGAGACAATGGACGAGTGTTCCTTTACTGGTGGGATCAAACTGTTGGCAGGTTGCAACACTTACTGTGGCTGTAGAGACTGATGTGGGAGAGACATGATCTGTTGCAGCTGGGGCAGATGATGACGTCTGGTTGAGCTGTTGCAGATGCACCATGGCATTTCTTCTCTCTGTGCTATGGATATATGACTTGACTGCCTGTCTCCAGGCACTGCGGTCATCTGCAAGGGATGGGTTTATGTTGCCAGACTTCATGTCATGTTCACAGACATCTTTAAAGCACAGCGTTGGTCTGCCAATTGGCCTATGGAATCCAGTTAAGAGATCAGCTCACCTATTATGCAATTTCATCAAACCACTGGCAGCAACATATAATGCATGGCTCTGAAATTATATCTGTGAAATGAATAATGGCATTTGTGGTACATCTTGAACTGTGTTGTGTACATAGATCTGGGTAGGTGGTGAATGAATGATCTTTCTGGTGGTTAGAGTCGGGAGATGTTGTGTCATATGGTATGTTAGTTGCTCCAAAGTCTTAAGATTTGAGATCTGCCAAATACATACAAGTTGATAGAGATAGGAAGCTCCTGGAACCCTGGAATTATGCTACAGTCAGTTTCTCATTGTACAATAATATCCTGGCTGAGGCGGTAGGCAAAGAGCTAAGCAAAGGCTTTGTTGAGTGGGAGAGCTGCTCACTTCATTATGAGCTACAGGAGCTATCCTTTCAGGACCATATGCACCATCTGTTTCCCTATAAATCCTTGTTCTCTGGCAAAAAGCTTTTATTCAGAAAGCCAAGGGTTTTTCGGGGGGGGGGGGGGAATAAATGAATTCAAGCCTCAAATACTGTGTTTTGTATCACTAGGGCCTGTCCCCATGATTCCTTCCATATATATGCTGTCATGAAATGGATTATAGGTGGGTCTATTTCATAGGCTGAATCACTCTCATTTAGAGCAATAAAAAAATCTTTTTTCTTGCAGTGTCAGAACTAATTTGCCCAGAGTTAACATGTTCCATATTTAAGCTTCAGTCAAGTCAGCGGTGCTTAAGCCACAGTTGACAGTTTCTGAATGTACACAGACAGAACTGCTGCTGGTGTGACTGAGCATAGCTTTATTAATTCCACTTTACAAAAGCTGAATTTCATTAAGGCTGTTATCCTGGCCTCACTTACCTGGGAATAAGCCCAGCTGAATTCAATAGGACTTACCTCTGAGTAGTCATGGTTAGAATTGTGGGGTAACTCACTTTTAACAGCACAATCCCATCCAGGTCTACTCATTGGATGTTAGGTATAGAAAGTGAGTATAGGTTGGCATCTCTAAAGGTTCTTATTTTTGCAATCTTCATGAAACTTCATAAAGGAAAAATCAATCTTACCTCATGAAACCTCTGTATACTAAATGGCTCGTTTTAGTTTTAGTTTTGCATTTGAATTCTTGTCTCTGTGTGCAATTTCTGAAATGCATCCCGATGTCTAATTCATCTATTACTGTAATGAACACTCAGATAGTTCTCTCAGGAGGTAACACCATGATTTTACATAATTCAGCCTCCATATTTTGCTGAGAATAAACTGATATGTTCCAAAGGAAGTACTCTCACTGTACAAAATCGGGTCTTCAGAGAGCACCAGCAGATTCTAGGCGCACTGTATGTCCCATAGCCACAAATTAATTCAGCAGCAGATTTTCAGAGGTGGGTGAGGGAAATTAATAGCTTATTCCTAAGCAGGCTTCCTCCTTTTATGAATTCAAGATGGCTTATGATGCCAGTAGAAAAAGTCCTTCAAATGAGAAAGCCAGCCCCTTTGATAGCGGTGATCTAAAGGAATATAGGACATGATAAAATCTTACTCAACTGAGCCATCCTTGGGTTCAACCTCAGAAGCCGTTTAGGAACCTCCTGTATCTATTTTACATGTTTGCCTGAATTATAAACTAAAACATACTGAGAACTAGATCCTTGGCAAAGTGATTGTTTTGAATATCACATCATGGAGCAGCCATGGCCTGGAGGTTCAGCACCTAAATCTCATGTAAGAACACATGCTGCACATTTTTGTTACAGGACCAGCAATTTCACATTTGAGAGAACTCTTGGGGGGATTCCACACTGACCCAGTGAGTTGTTCATTTTATTTCTTAGAAAAGCCTACGACTTCATATTTTGTCACCACTGCCTCAGATGCTGACTCCCTTCCCGAGAAAGTTAGTTCAGGTACAGGGATCTGCCTTACATCTTCCACAGTTAAAACAGATGCAAACAATTCATTCAGATTCTCTACGGTCTCCTTTTCCT